TCGACGTTTTCGGAAGGACCGCTTAACTGATTTGAATGATTTAAAAAGCAATCGATTCTATTGATAGGGAGATGTGCTGATTAGGTTTGAAAAGGTCGGTCAAGTTGTTTCGCAGATACGAAGCGAAGAGTGCAGAAAATGAAAATTAAGTTTTGAGAGAACAGAGCATCAGATTTGAATGATTCATTCGTATGATGAGGAGAGTGGTTATTAGTTATTGGCTAAGATAGGCTCAGACGTTGCAGAGATAAATTTGCAGTTTTTGAGACAAACAACATAAAGCACCCGATTCTTGCTTGTGAAGAAACGATTAGTTTTTGGGGAAGGCAAAAAAATATTTTTTTGCATGTCAAAATTTCATTTTTTTTAAATATCGAGAATGATTCGGATTTTAATTTTAGTTCTAGCTAAATTCTAATCAGCCATTAAGTTTGATCAGTGATTTGCAAAAATCTACTGATAACACTGCGCGACAAAAATGGCACTTTTATTTTTTTTCTCAAACTTTTTTTAAATCTACTTAGAATTGCATGATGATTTCAAATGTACCTTCAATTTTTCCGTAACAGCTCTAGTTTTTAAGTTTTAGGCAACTATCCTAATTAGCCATATCGGCTGTTTTCTAAGTTTTGTTGACTCTAAGACCTTGTGTGCATAATCCAGATAGTTTTTGTTAAATCTGGGATGAGACGCGGTGTCTCATGGTAAAAATGCATTTGTTTTTCGCACTATGTAAAAAAGTTGCTTGGTATGTTTACGTTATCATCCAGAAGGAAAAAGGAATGCTATAATTTCAATACGCCCGTCATTAAAAAAAAACTCAGAATCACCACGACAATTTTGTTTCTTCTGTGTGGTAAATACCAATGAAATAAATTCAGACAATGATAATGAGGCCTACTTATGATCAGCTACACAACCCCTATCCATGCTAATGATGAACAACCTAAAACATCAACATCTCCTGCCCACCAAAAGTAATGGATGCAGAAACCAACGTTAGATGAGAAGACAGGAAAAATTAAAATGCTATGTTTGATGAAATTAATTGAATTCATCACTCGCACTCTTATTCATAACGATTTTTAAAAAATCTGAAGATACTAGCAAAGAGCAGATCGAGAGTATCCACCAAGACATCAGGTCCTTGGAGAAGCAATATCAAGGAAGGTGAGACATCCACATGATGGCTGACAAATGTTGGAGCTTACGAAATTAGTCAGGCCTTGTCCATGCTCAAAAATCATATAACAAGTCTTTTGAAGGCATAAAATAAAATATGTTGTATATTTTATTGTATTTGAGGTAAAACTAGCACATTGGCATATCTTAAAAACTAGAGCTTTTAGTAAATTTTTGTTACTATTTTCGGAATCAGCGTCCATGAATTACTTCATAACATCTCTGGAAAAATTTTAGTGTCGCGCAGTGTAATTTGACGCATTTAGTTCCATTTATGGTAAAGGTCCAAAATTGTAAATAATTAAATAATTATTAATATGTACCTGAATGGGTAAGACTTCTTCCTCCGGTAACTCTAGATTGATGTCAAACAATTCGCAAACTTTATCTCTGAGTTCATAAAATTCTTCCAGAATCGCTTCTCTTTCAACACGACATTGTTTTTCCTCCTCGGCTATTCTCTGGTTGGCCACGACTTCTACCCAAGTCCTTTGCAAGAAATAGGCTAGAAAAAAATGAATCAAATTGTGAAAAAAATAAATAAACTAGTGTCTAGTTTAATTTAAATTTTAAATTTTAACTAATAGCGTCGTGCCTTAAGGCAAATTGCTAGAACTTCCCGCACCATTTTTTTTTTTTTAAAAGATTAACATTTTTGAAAAAAAAATACTCTGAACAAATTAGATTTTTGAGAAACTATAAATTTGTGACAAAAATTTTCTTTTTTTTGAAAAAAAAGACTTTTTGAATAAAAATTTATTTTGAAATATTTTGGAAATTTTGAACTTTTTTTCAAAGCAATCGTACTGCTTTAACTGAATAGAGACAAAATATCGAAGCGCGTAAGCGCAGTGTCGTCGTCTAACGGATGAACATTGGTACGGAACCCATAGGAATGTAAACAAAATTTATACTTATTGTTAAAATCTCTATAAAATATCTGATAATTTGATGTGCATATGTCTAATGATCATTTTTGACCGTCAAATGGCATTTTTTTACTTTTTTTACTAGATCTCCGAAACCGCTAAACCTGCCTTTATGAAAATTTGATCAGTTCTTCATCTTGTTAATACAAGTAAAATGTTTTTTGAATTATTCAAATCGGACGCTCCGTTCTCTTAACAACTGAGTTACCGTTTCTGGCTTTTTTTGCCCCATATCTTCGGAACGGCTAGACCTGCCTTCGCCAAAAACTAATCAGCACGTCTCCTTATCAATACGAATCGAATGTTTTTTGAATTATTCAAATCGCTTCATCTGTGTTCCCGAAATCGTCGACGAAAATTTGTATCCGCACACACACACACACATACATACATTTTTTCTAAAGTATGCCAAAGTGTTCAGAAGGTTTTGAAACATAAAGATAACTAAAAATTTTCATTTTCGATTTTTTTGCGATTACTATAACTTGCTTTACGAGAAGTTAATAAGCAAGGTAGAATGCTATAATAACAGAATCTTTGAAGATACATTTTCACAGTTTTCACTACTAAAGAACAAGCATAAAATAGCGTTGCCATAACAATGCTATGTTATGAGCTTTGTTACAGCAGAATTGCCCATGAGTAATAATAATAATTTTAATGGGATAAAATAAGATAAGATGGTTCTTACGGCGAGAAAAAATCGAATAATTGCCGGGAAAACTCTAACAACAGCCCTTTTCATTTTCACATACAAACGTTTTGTAACTAAAACGTAGAATCAATTTGAGCTTTAATAAAAATAAATTAAATTTTGTTAATAAAAAGGAAGAAAAAATAACAGTGAATGTGTTTTCGAAGATTCCTGCTTTGACACAGCGGCAAGTACGAGCAAAATTAATGGCAAAATGTTTTGAAATACCTACAAAACTATCCGAACCCTTCTTCGTGTTCATGATCTGAAATGGCGCAACACAATGGGGAATCCTCTGACGACTGAAAAACATGTGCTCTTTCTTCCGCTTGGGCACATGAAAATATTGATAGAGATTTTGAAAATGACATTTTTACTGATGAATGTTCTATATGGGCACGTACTGTCCTACGCAGACATTAAATTAGAATATGAGCCCTCAAACTAGGACTCATATTCTAAATTAGTAAAAAGCATACGTCGAAGATGCCAGCCAATTGTCGACTCCGGTGGTGACAAGAGACATATTGACCAAATTGCAACATTGCTTGCAAGGTGTACAATGCATATATAAATATTGAAGTTTCATAAAATTAATCATTAATCATAATCTTTTTATAAATTAATACAACCAACCACGCTCTTACTTGACTGACTGTAAGTCTAAACTCGACTAAAAACACGTTTTCTTTCGTCATTTATGGAAACAAAATCACACATTTTATCATCTTAATTCCACCCATCAAAATTCATGAGTGGGCTCAAGCCATGCTCAAGCCCACACGGTTCCGACGCCACTGATGGTTGACATTAATAAATGTGTGCATCACAAGTATTACCATTACTAATAAACATTATTCAAAATTATATTATTTTAAAGTATTTATTTTAAACTTGAGTGCCATCTTGTACAGTGACCAAAAAGTTTCGCTTGAATCGCGTGCGAACCTCACGCGCACTCTTTTTTCTTATGAACCTTTATTTTTTATTTCAGCGGTGAATATTATATCTTAAGATATACAATTGTGCTATTCAATATATACCAACTTGTAAAGTAATTTATTTTATCATTTACTAATAGAAAATATGTAGAAAAAATTCACTTATAACACAATAATATATCAAAGAATTTATTAACTTCCCGAAGGAGAAGTTTATGTTTTCATCAAAAACCCCGATTCGCTAATTTTATGTTTTCTTGACGTTTCAAGGCATTCTGAATCGAATGAGACCAAATTTGGAAAAAGTATGTGTGTGTGTGTGTATGTGAACAGATTTTTTGCCGTAAATCGACGTTTTCTCAAAAACGGTTGGGCCGATTTCAAAAATTTAATAGCCATTCGATGTATTTCGATGAGGACTAGCGTTTCTGAGTTTCGTGCGATCGGCCGAGCCGTTTCTTTGTAAATCGCAGAAAAGTGGAAAATTTTTCGTCCACGTTTTAGCTCGATTTTGAAAATTCAAAAACCGTTCGAAAGATATTGGTTGGGAATCGTGCTGATTAGTTTTTGGTGAAGATCGGCCGGGCCGTTTTCTTGTAATAAAGTTTTTTTTAAAAAAAAATCGACGATTTCTATTATTATTTTTTCGTTTTCAATTATGTGCAATAAATCCACTCGGAATACTTTTAATGGCTCAAAAATTAATTTATTTTTTATTGATTAAGTCGATTATTTAATCTTATCGGGAAGTTCATGTAACTTGCCTCAAGGCAAAATACCAAACCAACTAGTAATCACTTTATTATTATCCGTTTATTAATTTATGTATATATCCGTTATCCGTTAATATATCCGTTTTTCTATGCACGATAATTTAACGGCACTGAAAACAAAATGGCCTCCACAATGGCGAAGTTAGCTGCAATCGAAATGTCAATTGTCAATGAGTTTTATGGATTTTATTTTTTATATTGAAGTTAAACAAAACGAAATAATAGATTTATATTAAAACATATACATTATTTTATAAATCACTGTTTGTTTGTTTACAATAAACGAAATACGCCGAAAATGTCTGAAGAAACAATTTCAAACCCAACAATCAAAATTGAGCCAAAGGAATATCCTCCAGTTAAACAAGAACTTGATGACAACGATATTACTCCAGAAACATTTTTAGAAAATGAGGTAATATATTTACATCAGTCATCATCAGAAAAAATAAAACAAGAAACAATTGATGATCAAGATGAAACAAGTTTCGACGAGGGATCTTATATGGAAAACGAAGGAATATATCAACAGCGATTTTTAGATTCTGAAGTCACTATAGATGAAGAAATAAAGAAAGAAACGATTGATGATCCAGATGAATCACATTTTGATGAGTATTCTTATACGGAAAACGAAGAAATATGTCTACAGCAATTTTTAAAATCTGAAGTAACATTTGAGGAAGAAGTAAAGCATGAACTGATTGATGAGCATGTTGCAGACACTAGTAAGAACAAAAACAATGTCAGACAGTCAAGTGATTTAGCGGATAATACAAGTGAATGCAATAAATCAGTTAAAAAAGTAGTAGGAAAACTTAAAACTACCCTAAACTTGAAACAACCCTTGGAATGTAAAACTTGCAATAAAAGTTTCTCAACAATTATCACCTTACGTCGACATAAAATTATTCATACAGGAGAACGACCTTACAAATGTGAAACATGTAATAAAGCATTTACAACAAATTGGAATTTAGGTCAACATAAAAAGGTTCATACGGAAGAACGTCATCACAAATGTGAACTATGTAATAAAGCATTTAAAACAAATAGTAATTTAAGTCAACACAAAAAATATCATACAAGAGAACGGCTATACGAATGTGAAATATGTAATAAAGCATTTATAACAAATGGTGCACTAATTCGATGCATACAGGAGAACGTCCTTACAAATGTGAAATATGTAATAAAGCATTTATAATGAATAAAGATTTAATTCAACATAAAAGGAATCATACAGGAGAACGTCCTTACAAATGCAAAATATGTAATAAAGCATTCATAGCAAAAGAAACATTAAAGCGACATTTAATGATTCATACTGGAGAACGACCACATAAATGCAAAATATGCAATAAAGCATTCAAATTAAAACGAGATTTAAAACTACATGAATTTGTTCATACTAAAGAAAGCAATCATAAATGTGCAGTATGTAAAAAAACATTCGCAAAAAAACAAAATTTAAGTCTGCATGAAATGATCCACACTGGAACCCGTCCTCATAAGTGTGCTTTATGCAATAAATCATTCACAAGAAAAGAAATATTAAACCAACATCTAATGATTCATACTGAAGAACAACCATATAAATGCAAGATATGCAATAAAGCACTCCGTTTAAAACGATATTTAAAACAACATGAATTAATCCACATAAGAGAAAGCAATCATTGATGAACCACATGCAATAAAACATTCGCAGCTTTGCAATCATTAAACCAATATAAAACTGTTCATACTGTAGAACAATTTATAATAAAGGATTAAATTTTCATAATTTTAAACACATTATAATTTTAATTAGCAGACGTTCTCATCAGTGTACAACAGTTTGCTAAATATTGCTTATAAGTATCTTTGAAAATATTTGTGGTGACTTATAAAATATATTAACGATTTATTGCTCACCAAATATTGTTACGCCAGAAGTTATTACAAGAATATACAGGGTCATTATTTAAATCAAATTGTTTTTTATTTAATTATGTATGTATGAATATGAATAACATAAAAATTAAAACTTGTTGTAAAAAAGGGCTTGAACAATATTTGTTATTATTGGTCTCTTATTAACTTCCCAGAGAGTTGGTTATAGTAATCGTCCAAAAATTGATAATAAAATTTTTGTTTTGTATCGTATGTTTACATTTCAAAGGTTTCTAATCATTTTGTTATACTATGTGTGTGTGTGAATGTATATTTGGGTACAGTTTTTCTTCTATGATTTCGGTAGCACGGATATATGATTGGAAGATGTTACTTAGAAATAGGAAGTTGTATTAATTTATTTTCAATGAAAGCGAAAATTTTATTTTGGAAATAAACAGTTGAAAATTTCATTTAAATGGCAAAACTCACGTTTTATTGCGTTGAATATTGTCGCGTTTTGTTCTGAGGCAATGGGCCCTGATATACTCGTATGTACATACATTAGAACTTCGATTAACCGGACTAACTGTTGTCGATAGGCATCCGGATAATCGAATGTATAAAGAATAATGTTGTGTATTTATTAAAAATAACAAACACATACATATATATCAAGGAAATTAATGTTTATTAAGAAATTGAAACTTCATTATGTATGTGCATATATATTTTCTTAGATTACATTACATACATATACTGAACTGCAGCATTTATCATGAAAAAATTCGAATTGTAGGTATGTAAATACATATAAATTAGTCGTGGTTGGTAGTGCGGATAATAGCGAATCAGTATAACTGAGGTCCGGATAATCGAGGTTCTACTGCACGTATATCATTATTTTCATGTTGATTTCAAGTATGAATTCTTGTGTTTGCATTTTTGTTATTTACTCCAGTCAATGGAACGTTTTCGGTCTGACTTTTTTTTACTGTGCTCCGATTTAAATGAAATTTTGAAACTAGGTTCATCTTACCATCAAAATCAAAAGTGAAAACAATTTGGACTCGGCCACCACCCCCCGCGAGAATGACACCCCTTCTCAGTTGTGTGAATTTTATTTTTTCAAAATAACGTTGGATATCGATAGAAGAACTAATCTTATATATAACTAGCTGTAAGTGGAATTCTGTCTTAAGGCAATTAAGGCATCGTGCCTTAAGGCAAATTTCTGGAACTTCCAGAACCAAAAATTATTATTTTTTTAAAAACGAATAACATTTTTGAAAAAAATTTACTTCGAAAAAATTAGATTTTTGAGAAACTATAAATTTGACAAAAAATTACTTTTTTGAAAAAAAAATTTTTTTTTTTTGAAAACAAAATTTTTTTGGAAAGAAAAATGTTTTCTTCATTTTGACATATTTTGGAAATTCTCAACTTTTTTTCAAAGCAATCGTATTGCTTGAACTGCATCGAGACGAAATGTCAAAATGCCGCGCCGCCGTCTAACGGATAAGCATTGGTACGGAACCCATAGAAATGTAAAAAAAAAATTATACTTATTGTTAAAATCCCTATAAAATATCTGATAATTTGTTGTGCATATGTCTAATGATTATTTTTAACCGCCGAATGGCATTTTTTTACTTTTTCCATTAAATCTCCGAAACCGCTAGACCTGCCTTCATGAAAATTTGAACAGTTCTTCATTTAGTCAAATAAAATGTTTTTTGAATTATTCAAATCGGACGCTCCGTTCCCTTAAAAACTGAGTTAACGTTTTCGTCACTTTTTGCCCCGTATGACCTGCCTTCGCCAAAAACTAATCAGCACGTCTCCTTATCAATACGAATCGAATGTTTTTTGAATTATTCAAATCGGTTGATCCGTGTTCCCGAAATCGTCAACGAAAATTTGTATCCGCACACACATACATACACGCACACACACACATACATCCATTTTTTCTAAGGTATGCCAAAATGTTCAGAAACCTCTGAAACGTAAAGATATATAAAAATTTTCATTCTCGATTTTTTTGCGATTACTATAACTTGCCCTACGGGAAGTTAAAAATGGAGTTCTCGATCAAATAATTCGGTAAAACTCGGCTAAAACGGCTAAATCGATTTGGCCAGTCTTAGTCTTGAAAAATTTGTGCTAATCAGTAGGTTGTCGGAAAGGTGAGATATTATTTCAAAATCGCATAGAAACTTTACATATTTAATTTAAAATTTTTTAGAAGCGTAATTTAAATAAAACAATGGACTAATACGTGAAATGTCAAATGTTTTTAACAGATGATGTTCAATTACGTTTAATAGGATGTTTTACGTGAATATTATTTAATTTATGATTAAATTGTAGTTTTGTTTGCAGTTATATTTATACACAAAAACGTTATTAAACGGGCCGCAAGTGTTACTAGAAACTCAAAATATCAACTTTTCTGAAATGTTAATATGAAAATGCATTTTTGGCGTTGTAGCAGTCTTTTTTTTATTCAAACACGGTGCTCTGAAAGATCTCATTTATATAATTATATACTCATTGGTATTTATAAAACATTTTCATGGTTATATTTTTTCTATTTATTTTATTTAAATTCAGAACCTAAATTTGGTATCGATCAAATGGACATTTTTTTCCCAGAATTTATCAAAGAATAGATAGTAATATATGAAGGTCCGCGGTTAAAAAGGTCCACCATCGATGTGTCAAAAACCAGTAAAGTTAAGCATTGTTTAACAACAATATTTAAAAGTAGAGGGAAAAATATGTATGACCAGCTAAACCTTGATTCTTATGACTTTGCTATCGGGATATAAGCGGTAATCCTTGAAAATCCGTAATAAAAGTATTTTCTTCCGTTGGTAGTTTTTTAGCATTAATTATAAATGTAATTATTTTATAAAATATGACAGCAAAAAAGCATATTTCTACAATGATGTAGTAGCTGGCAGTTTCATTTGAAATGTGCTATTTGTTGTGATATAATTGGTTTGGTCTTCATAATATAATTTAGAATTGCTCAAAGTCAAATTGGACCTCTGTGCCTCGCCCTACTCTACAAACATACTTTTTATTAAATTTACTTTAATTCATAGAATGTTAGTTGAAACTTTTCAAAAAGCAGGTCCCTCGCAGAAATTTGAAAACTTTGTATAAGCTCAGTAGTATTATTTACAATTATACACAAAATCCAGAATCCAAAAAGAATCTGAAAAACTTGAATGGATTATACTATGTTTCCTATAGAAAGTGTATAAATCATCCAGTTTGAATGTATTAACAAAATATAGACAAACTAATGGGGTTTATTGTTTTTATGATACCTCATTCTATATAGCATTCAAACAGCACATCCTTATACACTTAAAGTATTAATATTTTTGATTCTCTGGAAATTATTTAGAATATATCTTACTTAGCTGTGTCATTTCATGTTTGCCGGTTCAGCTATAGTCTTATATATAAAAATGAATCGCAAAATGTGTTGGTAAGCACATAACTCAACAACGCCTGGACCAATTTGGCCAATTATTTTTTTAAAATGTTCGTTGAAGTCAAAGGATGGTTCTTACGGCGAGAAAAAATCGAATAATTGCCGGAAAAACTCTAAAAACAGCCCTTTTCTTTTTCACATACAAACGTTTTCTAACTAAAATCAATAGTAGAATCAATTTGAGCTTTATTGCTATCATATAAAGTTCATATTAAATTACAGGCACTCACTGTATACTCCTCCTAAACTATTATTCGGATTTTGATAAATCTTTCTGAAGTTTGTTAAAGAAATTTTCTAGGATGTATGCGATTATAAAGTACTGGGATGAATGTGCAATATTGTATTTGAAATGTTTGCATTAATTGAAAACAAATGAAAACTATCATTTGCCAAAAATTTCAATTTACTTGTGAACCTAGACAATGTTAAAGTATGTATAATAAATTTATGATTATACATAATTGGACCTCTGTGCCAAAATTATATGCCAAAATTTATTGCCAAATATTATTGCCAAAAAGAAGCTGAGATGTGCCAGTAATTGAAATAATATAAAATACAGTATATGTATGGCGCATTGAATGATTTACATATGAACAGGATATGACAAATTAATTAAGTTAAAATATGAAATTAAGTATTAATCAGAGCCGGGCCTACCGTTAATGCAATGCATGCGAAAAATACGAGCGCACGCCTTAGGGGGCGCCAACGCAAGATTCGGATATAAAATTTTCAATATAGTTTTTTTTTTCAATATATATAATTTCTTTGCATCTTCTACTAATCTTTCCACAATATTTTTAAAATTCGTAAAA